GTATTTTTGTAACTTAAATGATTGGGTACGATGAATGCTCATGCCACATATCCTATCGGATATCTCCATGCCAGATAATTATTTGCCTATAATTATTAGTACGTTGCGACCTAAAAGATTTATTGTGTTCTTTAGTTTGATTAGAGTGTTTCTCCAAGTCCGATTTCTTTAATGAAAGACAATATAGAGCATATCTTTCCTAGACTTAAATCCCCATGTTCCATAAAATAACCTCCTAGGTGTTTGTTCAGCTGGTGCATCAGTATCGGGCATATGGTATGCGGTTTATCACTCTTTTCTACAGTATCTGCAGTCTGAGCTGGATTGTATTTCTAACTTTGTTAGTTGATAATTCATTCTACAGTGATCGGTTAGTATTCCCGTAATAATTGTATCTCTAATAAGCTATATATTTCTAATGCTGCTTAGAACTGTTTAAATTTTATTTTAAACTAAAATAGTTTTTCTTGAATATTTGAATTCATTTTAGTATTTCTAGTGAATGCAGAATTGTTTTGTTATTGGTTTATCTCTAGTTATATATTATAATGTAGCACGTGAAATAAAAATGTAATGAAATGAAAGACTTCGTTTTGGAAGACTAAACTTTTAAACAGTGTGCGTATCTTCATACCAGTAGATACGAATATTTTAGTTTTTTGGTAATCAGTCATGTACACTTCATTAGCAGTTTTCTTACTATCTAATAGCAATATCTAATGATAATAAATTTGAGTCAACAACCAAATTTTAATCCAAAAAAATTTGCATTAGAAAATAATAAAGATAAATTATGCACTTCACGTTTAAGTAAGTTTCAAAATAAATAATTTAAAATGATATTTATTGCCTTCGGTTCGAAAGGAAAAGTTTGCCAACTCATTTATTTTATCATTTCTCGAAACGGCGCATTATCAGCAGTAATTTTAATTACTTTTTGCATTATTACGTGGAAATTTATTTGACTCTCAACGAAAGCAAATGGAAATGGAAATGGCAGCCAGGCAAATACGCGATTCAATTCGATTTGATTTGAGTTATTTGCTGTACCGGTGCGAGAGGAAACTTTTCAACAGAAGTGTCTGCAAATAATACAAATGAAATGTTATATCCGTTTCCTGCGTTCACTATTTCGGTAATGTTCGAATTGTAATGAATTTAAATCAAAGCTGTGCTCCTCTATGGCGTGCACTGAAGATCAGGAATACCAAAAGTGTTTTGTTATATTGTGGTGACGTGTTTTGGTGTTGCGGTGTTCGTCTGAGTCAATACTATGTAGCACACGCCACAATATACTTAATGTAGCCCAGTTACTCTATATATACATACTTAATTGTTAGCAATGAATGAAGCTATTTTTGCTGTTGCTTTTACTCGTCCTGGTGCTGTTCCTGCTGTTCCAAGTAATACCTTTTTATTCGCCTTTGTTCTGGTAATCTGGCACCTGCCACGGTTGCTTTCATTTATTAAGATAAAATTAATTGAATTCAATTAAAACCTTTTTTGTGCCAGCAAATTTCATTTTCGTCTTCTTTTTTTGCACCTTTTGTAATAAGTCTGCCGTGCGCCTTAAATTACAATTTAATAATATAAAATAAAGAAAATATTTTGGTAGCTAAATGAAAGTTGATTGTGAGAGGTAACTTTTCATAAACGCTGGCCCTTGAAACTAATATGATTATCAGAGTAAAATTTTTAAAAAACTTTCTTAGATGAAAATAAAGAAAATGTATCTAATATGAAAATAATTTAGATAATTTTTCTATATACTGCACAAAGTATTTATGCAGACAAAATAAATAAACGAATTAACTATTAACGATTTTAAAATAAATTTTAAATTTTATATTAAAATCCCTAACATTATTGACTAAAGTAATACGAATAAATATTATAAGAGTTTTCAAATATTTTATTCAGTCTGCTTATCAACAATTTAAAAAAAATTTCTCAATAATTAATTTATATTTAATAGTTAATAGTCAATAGCAGAGACTATAAATACATATTTCACATACAAACAAAATCCTACCGTTTACAAGACGACATTGTTGTCGTCCTTTGACAAGTAAGTCAAAATGTTTCTGCTACTTTTTTTTTAATAACATTTTGCAGCCTATTAACTATACCCTTGAACTTATTAGTGGCGCTTTCTAGTCTATTGATCACCCTTTTAGTTTTATGGCCGAATCCACCGACATATTTCTCCATCCTTTAAGCCATTTCTCAGTTCAATTGGTGTCTTACTTTTTGATTTTACAAATTGTTATATAAATTACCGCCGCGTACCTTAACCCGTTTTTCTGTCCACAAGTCTCTTTAATCCATTGACTATACCAACTGGGCCGTTGTTTGCATTTTCCAAATGCTTTCTAACTTATTAATCACACCTTTTAGTCCATTAATCTACTTTTTCAGTTGATTGAACTAGTCCACAGAACTATTTTTAATCCTTATAGTTTGTGGTCGCTCTCTAGCCGATTGGGCATTAAGTTAATCCATTGCTTCATAAGCGACTGTTCAAAGCCAATGCCCACGTCTGCCATTATTACCACGTATCCTAATAGCTATGATTTTTAGTTTAGAGACCAAGCCATTTAGCCTATTGATTATGTCCTTTAATATATTGGTCACATCAATGGAACCATTGGCCATACCCTCAAGTCCATTTGCCATGTTATCCAACTCATTGCCTTTATCCTGCGGCTCATCGAACACAATCTTTGCATTATTGGTGACACCCTCTACTTTAATGATCATACGAAATGTTAACCGTGCCCAAATTTTATTCGATCAACTTAACAGCAACAACAGATAGAAAGAGTGAGATGATATGGAGAGAGATAGAGACAGATATAGAGTAAGATAGAGAGAGATATAGAGTGAGATATAGGAAGAGAGAGAGAAAGAGAGAGCGAAAAAGAGGGGGAACGAGGGAGAGATAGAGAGAGAGAGAGAGAGAGGCAGAGAGAGAGAGAGAGGCAGAGAGAGAAGAGAGACGTGAGAGAGAGAGAGAGAGAGAGAGAGAGGTAGAGAGAGAGAGAGGTAGAGAGAGAGAGGTAGGGAGAGAGAGAGAGAGAGAAACAAAAGAATTCACATTACACTGACAGATTGCATTAGTCTGAATTCAACCTAAAACCTAAGGTAACTAGTTCAAAAGTTGACACTACGCTGCCGACAGATATTCAGTCTGATTAAGTCAGTTAAGGTATTCAGTCTGGTAAAGGGAACACTTAACCTCGTTATTCCTACCTCGAATACAAGTGATTGAAATGATCTTAATCTTCATCAACACTACATTAGATTAGTAACAATAATAACAATAGTAGGAAGATGAACTAAAATTACAATTATGACTTTAAATTTGTCAATACTAATTTTAAATATTTTAAAAACGAAAAATAATACTTATATCTAACATCAATGCACTACAGTATTTAAAAGCTTTAAGTATTTGCTATTTAGTTCCTTTCATTAACTATCATTTTCTTCTGTTTGCTTTCATTTGCTTCCGCAGCAAATGCTTCTGAAGTTCTTCCTGTAAGAGCCCGAAAAAATCTCTTTAAGAACAAAAGAAATATTCCTTCAACTTCTGTGACCATTTTGGTAAACCGAACTTTGTGTATTTACCATAAGACAATTAGTATGTCATTATGTCATTGTGTCATTAAAAAACAATTAACTCCTTAAGGCTCTTTTTCTTTTTTAGGAACTACACTAAAATGTGTGAAATCTATTTAAATATTAAAGTTCAACTTTAATGGCCAACTGAGTTAATTAAGTGAAAAGTAAAGTAAATTAGTGCAATTCCTCATGCAGAGGAGCTGCAACTTGACGCCATTAAATATTTAAATGACACAAATGTTAATTTGGAGTGAAAAGTGGCTAACAAATGAAAAGTGACAAGTGGCAACGCCCGTAATTAGTGTCACTTCTTGTGCCTGACGTTCCTTTCGAAAGTGACTGAAGGAAAAAAAGCAGGACTCTGAAATTAAAAAACTTTATTCTTAGACGTTCGAAATATTTCAGAAGATTTAAGTTTGAATAAATAAAACTTGTTGATGGCATTTAAATTGTGAGAACAATTAACTATCTTTGAGGGAAAAATTAGATAACAATTAGAGCTTATTAAATAATAACTTGCTCGACAGAAGCAGTTAAGATAATTGTAATAATTTTATTTATAATTATTATTCTTATTTGATCTATTATTTATGCAAATATGAATCAAATAATTTTAGCAAATATTTATTTAAATTTGCATACTATTTTAGATATATATATGAGGTATAGATATAAAATTTTGAATTTATACATGTATATATTTTAGTCCTACCAATAATATATATATATATATATAATATATATATATATTATATATACGCAATTTATTATCTATTATCCAATATTAAGTAAAAATATTTAATTTGGTATTTTTGCAGTCTCCGAATAAAAATAATAGAATATTTTTAGAAAATTAAAATATTGTTAGAATTTGAAAATAATATTCCAATTTTCGTCATTTTTAGAATATACGAGTTTTAAACGAGTATTTAATGTATAGATCCAAAAGTATGTTTATAATAATATATCTACATACAGGTAATATATATATTTATTATGTATATGTTATTTATATATATATATATATATATATAATATAATGTTTTTGTCTATACTCTTTATATATACATATAATATTATTCCGATTTATTCTATTTATTTCGATATTAAAATGAAAAAAATTTTTAGTTTTATTTGTATTTTTTGCAAATAGTATATATACGACATATTTTTCTATATGTATATAGAGATATATATATATATATATATGTTATATGTATGTATATATCTATATATTTCACTCATGCAAATTATATATATTCCGAAATATTCAATTTATCTCAATATAATAATGAAAATAATTTTTACTTTTATTTGTATTTTTGCAGTTTCGAATAAAAACTTGTATAAAAACATTTAAAAGTTTTAAACAAAACAACACCAAAAACCGCATTGAAATTGTTTCAAATCGACAAGATTAAAACAAAAACTACTCAGCAAGGCTAAATCAACAAAATGCGTCGTTCATCGTTCACACCAGTTTTTAATTTAAGCACACAGGAACCACTGATTGTGGTGGAAGAGACTAATGCATCCGAAGATGGCGACAATGTGGAGGGTGCAGTTGGTGGAGCTGAAAATACCACAACAAAACGTTCAAACAGCGATGAATCAGAACCAGATTCGCCAGTTAATCCGTATTTGTTATGCCCATTTCCGGACATGCAACAGCGTCGCAAGCATTCGCTGCCCTCATTACAAATTACCGAAGGTATAACCGCAAGTCAAGTACGACGTCTATCAGAAGCTGGTGGAGAAAATGGTGGCTTAAGTCCCAAAGAAGTTGAGTTTTTGGCCACACTCTCACAAAAAGTAAATCCAGCTGCAGGCGGTAGGAGGCATTCAGTAGTTACAATCTCAGCTGTGCCACCAACGCTGTTTGGCAGAAATCGTCGTGATTCCTTGTCCGGCATAAACTTTAGGTAAGTGATTACTGGTTCATATATAGTTTATTTTATATAACTATGTGGGTGTTTAATTATGCTACAAATAGTAAGAGATGGATAAAAAAGGAAAATATTGCTGGGATTTTAATAATAAATTCAGAGAAAAACCATTTGAAAAAAGAACGGAATTTTTCTGAAATTGCGCTATTAATAAATTATAGAATTTGCAGTATTTGCACAACTTGCGCTCATTGAACTGTAAAATATTTACACATTTTAGAATTTTATTTACAAATTTCTTTTCATGAATTCGTTTTCATTTTTGTTGGGCAACATATTGAAACAATATAGAATTAATCCTGTTAGTTTGTGATGTTTGACTGTTTCTGAGTTTCGATTAAAAACACACTTTTATATTTTATTTGATACTTTCAGTGGCAGCCGTCGTGGTAGTGGCTTTCAGGGTCCACCACTCACCGACCATCGAGGCAGTATTCACAATTTGCAACTGGACATTATGGATGGCATTGTGCAGGCACGTAAAACACGTTCCGGCAGTGGAGTGTGGACAGCACCAGTGCTGAAAGAGGCCGATAGCAATGTACCAGTGCAGACATAAATTTTTTATTATAGCTTACTCTGCTCCTTTCACCATATAAACAACCACAAATGTTGACAGTTTTTGTGGATTTACACAATAATTTTCAATTTTTTTCGGATATTTATTTTTCTTGGTTTAGTTGTTGTTTTTGTATGTGAAACTTAATATATTTTAAAACTATTGTTTGTTTGCGTAAATTAAAATGTAC